CAAATGTTTTCCCTCTCAATGAGGTCTTCTGGGCAGTGAGTTCCACTCTCCCAAACTCCATTAATATATACACGCAGCTAAAACATCTTGGGACAGGCAGTTTTCCAAGTTTTACATAGTGCTTTGTCTCTGAGGAGTTCTCAGAGCTAAGCAAAGAAGAAATAGGCAGCTTTATACAGAGCTGGCCTTTGGCAGGAGGCTGCAGTACAACAATGCTGGTGGGTCTTTCCACTCCACTGGTATTGTCCCTGAGCAGGAAAATCTTTTCAGTGGCCATGAAGTTCCACTCTTTCCACCTATTATGCTTTTTACACAGCTATGATAAAATGCATACTATTTTTAAAAAGCAGCCAGCTGCTGCCATTAATGTTATGCCTCATTCTTTCATATTCTCACCATTTACTCTTGCTTTGGGGATACATCCATAAAGCTGGGAAATGAAGTTATTCTGTTTTGTTATAATATATGGAACATGGCAATTATATTTTTGATATTTTCTGTAAATTCTTTCACTTCCAGAGACAGCTACTTGTACTTTGTTCCTAATTGATAAGATTTTTCTTACCAGAGGCGCTATAATTGCTATCCCTGTTTGTTCGCACTAAGCGAGCGCAGGGACTTTGATGCTCTGTACTTAAAAAAAAATGTAACTTCTGTTATTTAAGGCACTTACTTTGACCCAGCAGCTCAAAGAACACCTGATATTTTGGGTGTTATTTCTTTTCTATCTTACGAAAAGAAAAAGAAAAAAAGGCCCCTGGTGTGCTACAAACTGTGACTCTCCATTTTAATGACATGTACTTCATGGATTTATTTATCCCATATGTTCAGAAATATAATTTTGTGTCATCATGCCTCTGTGTGTACTGTATTTTTTTTAAGAAGTGAAATTTTCTCTAATATATTCAGAATAGCATTCTCTTAAACACCATTACACATGCATGCAAGAACTGTTATGGTCTTATTTTGGTAACATCAGAGATCTATGAATATCATACCTTCCAGCTGTTCCAATTTGCCAGGGACAGTCCTGATTAATCCTCTGCTTTCTTGCTTTTCCAGCAGCTTTTAAAACGTCCCAATTTCTCTTTCTTGCTTTCACTTTTCCTCTTTGCCACCAGCTTGCTTAATTTGCTGGAAACTGAATTTAAAGTGCTCAAGAGGAAAGGAGAGGGCAGACAGAATCTTTCCCTTCCCTGTATATTTAGGCAAAAGCAAACTTTTGCTGCCTTTCCCAGCTTGTGTGCTCTTCCTCATTTATAACTTTTGCCATCTGATGTTGCTTGGCTGCTAGTGTAATGGTTTTCATATGTGAAATGTTGGGGAGTATGGAGTATTATAAAATCTATGGGAAATCTGTTTAGCTCTTAAACTTACTAAATTAGTATATACAAACTTCAGATGTGGCTACATGCAATACAAAACAGTTTTACAAAACATGAAGATTATGAATGGCATTACTACAGTATACGTACAAACTATTGCAAATTACAATCTGGGTTTCAGGCTCATGCTTCACTGTTAGAAGCTGCTGTCACTCACCATTTCTGAAGCTGTGTTTACATGGATATATATATAAGTAGATATGCATATTAACATTGTTATTAACTTAATGTATACCATGCCTTTTCTCCAAAACTGGCAAGAAGTTTCTGAAGCACATCTGCATTGTAGAAAGAATGAAGTATAGCACCACTTTAAGTGCTGTAGCTCTGTCTTATGGAACACTGGGATTTGTAATTTGACAAAGTATTTAGCCTTCTCTGTCAAAGAGTGCTGGAGCCTCAGACAGCTACAAATCCCAGGATTCTGCATGATGGAGCCATGGCAGTTAAAGTGGTATCAAACTGCATTGTTTCTACAGTGTAGAAGGACCCTCAGTGCGGCTTATAAATGAAAATATAATATGCATACAAAAGATCATTTTTAAATGGAATGAAACTAGCCACGACATTTAAAAACAACAATTTAAAGCATAAGTTTAAACATGATAAAGAGCAGTATAAAAACATTAAAATTAAAACAGCACAGCATCTAAGAAGTAGAAGAGAATCCATGGCCAGTATTACATTACACTGTTATAGTGTTATTATTTCACTTTAACTGCTATGGCTGCCTCTTGTGGAATCCTGGGGTTTGTAGTTTAGGAAGGCCTAAGAGCTCTCCAGCTAAGAACTCTAAATGCCCTTCCCTAAACTGCAAATCCCAGGATTCCACAGGAGGCAACCATAGCCGTTAAAGTGGAATAATAGTGCTATAATAGTGTCGTGTGATATTGTCCTGTTTCACAGGTATGTTTCACTTTGTTCTTCAGACAGAATGAAGCTTTCAAGGTGTCATGAACTGAGGTTCTCTGTTGTTCTTTTGATCCAGAGAGAAATCTAGCCACCCTAGACTATAGGATTTTCAATATAGACACATGGGAAACCAGATCTGGGTTTAGGCACTATGCATGTAACATTTATTAAGACATATGGATGAAACAATAAGAAATAAGACAATAAGAAATAATAAATAACAAATAAGACAATCATTTTAAGTATCAAGAGCTCTTTCACACACACATTCACTCAGACATACTCACAAAGGTCCTCCACTGAATGTTGATCAGGCATCCATGAAGGTTGGGATGACACCTTGCCCGGGTAGGTGCCAGCAAAGTGAGGCTGGTAGACCACTTCTTTTATACCTTGTTCATCTTTCTTTTGACAAAAACATGCTTTTCCTTGGTTTATTAAAACATCCTGAACCATCACTCCAAGTTCTTATCAGTTGATGCAGCTCAGAGTGTCCATCACACCTTGTTTGTACAAATTTTGCAAATTCCATCTGCTCCGGCCAACTCAACATTCCTTTTAATTTCTCGTTTTCAATGTCCAAATCCTTCCCACATCAATTGCATTGAACGCAGCCATGTTCTCTGATTTGGGACCATACAATCAGCTCAGAACCCACTCATTCATTACAAAGGTCCTAAGGGATCCCCTGCAGTGAAGATGATTGGCTACACCCCTTTCTGGCTGGGTGCATTCTAATGTATTGATTTTCCATTAGAAGAAATCTTGAGTATTTGTACAGATACATGTTTTTTTAAAACTGTATCCCTGTAACATAACTGATGGTCAATGTTACCATTGCTAATATACTTCAAGGCTGGAAAGGTTACATTAACATGTTTTCCAGAGTCCATGGTTCGGGTGCTGCAGGGACGCACCCTGCCAAAGACCGTCTCCTGTTTTTTCATCTTAACAAGGTTTTCCTTGCTATCCATCCTTTTCTTTGGGATGGAGTGAGCAACTATGGGAGGCTTAATGGCTGCATTAGTCTTCTAGGAGACCTTGGGGAGCCACATACACACCTTAGCCCCCATGCAAAATCCTCAATATGTTGCCCCAAATACTCCTCAGTGCCCTCTCAGGGCTGTGAGGGGCTATTTTGCCATGTTTTTAGGCCCAGGAGAGGCCTTTTCAAAACAAAATCTGACCAGAGTTACCTGCAGATTTTAAAAAAGGACTTCCCTTTATCTAAAATGGCCCAGGAGAGCTCCAAAATGTGGTGAAAATGCCCCCCATGCCTACTTAGAGGGCCCCTGGGGGCCCCTGATGGCCACAAAAACAGCCCTGGGAGGATACATGCAGCCTTCAGGCTTTGCTTTACCCTCCCCAGGTCTAAGGAGACCCAAGGAAAGCTCTCTTTTATTGGTCTAAAACACACTTCAGAAATAATTCAGTTTGAGACCACTTTAAATGCCCTGGCTCAGTGCTAGGGAATCCTGGGAACTCTACTTTCTTGTGGTGCCACAAGAAGGCTAAACGTCACACAGAGAAGGCTAAATGTCACACAAAACTACTGTTTCCAGAATTCCCTAGCATTGAGCCAGGGCAGTTAAAGTGATCTCAAACTGGATTATTTCTGCAGTGTGTTTTGGACCATTGTTCACCAAACTATCCTTGACAAGTACTTTCCCTACACATCCTAATTCCCACCTCTACCTCCTGCCCTCCCTAACCCTACTGTCACCTGTGTGTATGTTTAGAGAAAAGGCTGCTTTATTATTATGCTGGGTTGTGCATGGGAGCCCAGCCACTTTGAGATCATTGGTAGCCTCCCTGTGGGATCTGAGCCTACCAAGCTTTTCCTACTCCTTCTTCCCTACTGAATGAAGCTGCCTACTTTGGACAGAAAAGTGGAGGGTATTATGTGGGTTCAGGCAATGCCTGGTGTGAAGTGTCATTGGATGTGTGTGTATGTCTATGTGCACATGTTCAGAATTGATTTCCCCAATCCTCCATTTCCTCCTTTATGCCCCTATGACCTACAGGTTCTGAGACTTTTTATCCATTGTTGTTGTTGTTGTGTGTCTTCAAGTCATTTCTGACTTTTGGTGATCCTATGGTAACCCTATCATGGGGTTTTCCTGGGATGTTTCTTCAGAGGGGGTTCACCTTTGCCATCCCCTGAAGATGAGAAAGTGTGACTTACCCAAGGTTACCCAACTGATCTACATGGCCAAGCAAGAATTCGAACCTTGGTCTCCAGAGTCTTAGTCCAACACTCAAACCACTACATCACACTGGCTTTTTACCCTTGTGACCTCCTTTACATCTACATCCAGACATCACATGCCTCCTTGATGTAGTGTATGAATAAAAATGTTTTGTTTAGTGTGCATATTTATGTTCACATGGTCACGTATATTCATAGTTTAATATCATTTAAGGAAATAACTCTCCTTCAGGCTCCAAGTGCCCTCCTTGCCTTTTTTTTTCTCCTCCAGGACAGAAACTATTTGGGAAGAGGAGGAGAAGAAGCAGGGAAGATAAAGACGTCCAAGTCTCATGGCCCCCTTGAGCATTTCTCATGCCCCCCCCAGGGGTCCCACCTCACAATTTGAGGACCACTGGCCTAAAGCAAAAACCAGTCTTACAAACAACAGTTTTGAAATTTCCTGTTTCCCAATCTCTTAAACTTTTCTGTCTCTGTTGCATCTTCCTCCATCTCCCAGAAGATGTAGCATCCCCTTGTGCCTAAAATGTCACTAAGAAATATCACCCACTTTATCCTATCATGGCTTTTTAGAGTTGCACTGGCATCCCAGCCTTACCATTCCCTGTAACCACAACCCAACCATCATACATTTGATTATATTTGATATATGTTTGTGCATGCTTCACTTCTACATAAGGAGGGCAGAGCTAATTAATTTCCTAGCAGAAGGTTCTAGATCTCCCAGAGAAATTATACTGGCAGTTCCCACAAGAAAACATTTAAAAGTATGTAGCACAGAAACCTCTGCACCTTTTTCTCCAATGTGAGATGCCCTCCTAAGGGACTCCTTTCCTTTCCTTTCCTTTCCTTTCCTTTCCTTTCCTTTCCTTTCCTTTCCTTTCCTTTCCTTTCCTTTCCTTTCCTTTCCTTTCCTTTCCTTTCCTTTCCTTTCCTTTCCTTTCCTTTCCTTTCCTTTCCTTTCCTTTCCTTTCCTCTCCTCTCCTCTCCTCTCCTCTCCTTTCCTTTCCTTTCCTTTCCTTTCTGGTCTTATGACCACCATGGCTGCCTCAATTTTTGTATGAGCCATTACCTCAATATACGCATGTCTGTTTCCATATGATTCTCTGCAACCACACATGGTTTTGTGCTGAATGAACCAGGAATGCTTTCTCATGTCTCTGATTCAAATCACCTCAGAGGATGGGGAGGACAAGCCTCTTGGAGGATCCCTTGCCATGAAACCCTCATGAGAGCTTCTCCTTGGGGGGATCCTTCCTGGCCAGTCTCAGACTGGAGGATAAAATCACCATGCGTTAAAGTCATGGAAATGCAAAGATTCACACTTTGTGTCAAATAAAATATAAAAATTAAAAAAACCCAAAGACTCTCCTTCACTGGCTTGGGCAATGTTTGAATATCTGGGCTATGGCATCATTGGGGGGAAAAGCAGGAAAAAGGGAAACAGCTGAGTGTTTGCTTAAAGGGCCTGGTAGTGGGAAATTTGAAATCATCAGAGCTGGCAACTAGGTGCGAGCACAAAAATGGCGCTTGCCATGCACTCCGACCTGTGAGAGGGGAGAGACATGTTCTGCCCCTCTGCCCACCCTCCGGCCATTAATCCTTTCAGGAAGCCCCAGATAGGATCAGGTGCAAGTTCACATAGACAGCACCCTGACAAAACCCATTTTTTTAAAAAAGAAAAGACAGCGGAAAACTCAATGCTGGAAAACCCATGATGAGGGAGACTTGCCCTGGGTCCACCCCTATTCAGGTGTGCAAAACCCAGTACCAGTGTGAACTACCCGCTTTTAAACTGGTTTACAAACTGGTTTATAACATAGTGTGAACAGCCCCTTAGAAAGTATGTGGAAGAATCTTTTACTGTGTGGATTAAGAGGGAAGATTTCAAGTGTGTAAAATGAAACACAAATGTGTTAGAAATTAAAATAGGGCAGCCTTGAAGTTTGTTAAAGGTAGGAATACCATAGCTAGTGATAGGGAATGTTGGAAGCTGCAATCTCACAGCATCTGGAAGGCTACATTATTTCCTCTCCTGTGAAATGGTGTCCTGAAACAATGGCCTAAATCCTATTGATAGTTCCAACTACAGTAGACCCACAAATTATGCAGTCGATCTTCCCACAATTGGGGAAATTGCAGGAGTCAGCACGCCTGGAGTGCAATGGATGAAACTCACCCTGGGAAAACCACCTTCATTATCGTGGTATCTCCCCTGCCAGGTAAGTATTTTCACTAATGTGAAAAGCCATGACTTCAGTAAATTGCATTCATTTAATGGGTCTGACTCTTGCTGGGGTAAACAAAACAAAACATTAGCAGACTTTCTCTAACACTGTGCTAAAAATTAAATCTGTTCACCACTTCTCCATGTTCATCAATTGTACAAGGTGGAAGGTTCTTTAAGGTCATGGTCAGAATTTGGCAAAGTTACCTTTCTTACTATTAGCCTCCAGAATTGCCAGCTGACCTGGACAGTGGCTGTGGCGATTGTGGGAGTTGTAGTCCAAAAAAGATCTTCTGAGCTCTGATCATGGTTTATGTTTGTTGGTGTCTATTAAAGGGAAGTACCACTCTAAGCAACCTTGCCCTAGTGCACTACAAACAGGGACCTGGTGGCCCTTATTATCAAGTCACTGCAGCCTGGGATATATATCAAAATGTAATGTACATTATATGCAAGTAAAGTTGCAAAGTAATAAATAACCCCATGCATCTCTGTGGTTATGATGCTTATGCCTTCTCTGAACAAAATGTCTTTGGCAGCAGCCACAGCAGGGCACCTGGTGGGATTCATACATTAATGATGCTGCAGATGTGGGGCTGGCAGCTGAGCTTTGTCTTGTGCCTGAAGCCAAATGGATCTCAGCTTCTAGGCATGACATCCCTTTCTTCTTCATTAGCAGCTGGAATGAAACCCCAAGTGTGACTGGCAATCAGTCTGTCCCAGGTCTTGTACTGTCTGTTCAATTTGGAAAGGCTATAAATAAATCAGGCATGAGCAGCAACGTAGCGAGCACCCAGGATTCATTAGCTTGCTGCTGTGACAGTTAAAAAACAGGCACTTCTCCATGGGCTCATTTGCTAACAAGGGACTACTCATCTTTCCTGGGTCATGAAAAAGAGCAGGCTGGCAGGCCAGCACAATGTAGGAGTGGGCACTGGCTTCACTGATGCCCCCATGTCATTTATCTTTCTGTTTACAACCACAGGGCACAGAAGCCCATGGCAGCCGGTAGCTTCTGTGGCAGTGGGTGGTGACTGTTTTGGGGTTTACTCTGAACTGTAAAAGAGCCATCCAAAGAATTCTCTATGAAGGGGAAAGAGCTCAACACTTTGGCAAGAGTTCCTTTAAAGTTCATGCTGTTCAGTGCTCCACTAACATGGAAGCCACCAGCTGCCACTGATAGTTGCTGATTCTGAATGGTTGTTCCTTCCAAAGTTCATGGATATTTCCCTACTGGCAGCATGCTGGCACTGAAAATTGTCTCTTTTGTTTATCTATTCTTCTCCTGGAGAAAGAAAATCTGAAGGTGGTTACACAAACAATTCTTTTGGCATATTTTGCCCTGGATGTGCCATAACATTTTCCTTACTTCTTTCTTTGGGGTCTTCACGATGGGGGTCACTTTGTTGCCATTGCTCTTTCTCTCATTTTAAAAATATGCCAATAATATTTTTATTGTCCCAAACTGTTTTCTGGCATATCCAATCATCAGCTGCAACATTTTATTCCTGTCTTGGAGTGAGTTTCTTTTTAATTTTGAGAAATATTGAAAAAATTCCATTCCATTTCCTGGCTCTCCTTTGTTTTTATTCTTTTTAGGGGTACAGTGCTTATAGTAGAGCAGTGAAATGGCACTTTTGCATTACTGCTCTGCTGTTGTTATGTGTCTTCAAGCAGATTCTAACTCACAGTGACCCTATCAGAAGATTTACTTGGGAAAGATTTATTGGGTGGAGTTTGCCACTGCCTTTCTCTTAGATTGAGAGAGTATTTGCTGAAAGTCACTCAGTAGGTTTCTTTAGCTGAGTGGATTCACACTTTGGTCTTATGAGTTTTAGGTCTAATCTGTACTGCAGAAATAGTGCAATTTGATACTGCTTTAATTGCCTTGGCTGCATGCTATGGAATTCTGGGATTTGTAGTTTTGTGAGATATTTAGTCTTCTCTGTCAGAGAGCTCTTATGCCAAAACAAACTACTAATCCCAGGTTTCCATAGGATGGAGCAGTGTCAATTCTGCATTAATTCTGCAGTGCAGATTAGACCTTAGTTCCACACTCAAGTGACTATACCATGGTGACTCTCATTATATGTTTACAATTCTTAAATGCTTTTACAATGTTAAAAAAAAATCAGAGGAGAAAAGTTACTGTTCATATCTCAGTAAACTATGGCTCATTTTTTTAAATGGAAGTTCCAAAAATTGCTTCAAACAGCCCCCCCCCAGAAGTGACAACCACTGGCAAAATCCAAGAGTTATAGCATGAAAGCACTTGCTTCTTTAGTCCAATCTGGAAAAGGCCTTTATTTATTTGAAGGGTTTATCATTTTTCTGGCCACTAGGGCTCAAAAAAAGCAAACCACAATAAAACAGGTAAAAAACATTGTTGCCTTA